CGCGCGCACACACGCACGCGCACGCGCACACACACACACACACACACACACACACACACACACACACACACACACACACAGGCAAGCACGCACACACACACACACACACACACACACACACAGGCAAGCACGCATACACGCCACAATAATGTGAGTTGACTGGCTGTTTCATTCATCACTCTTTTTGTCTCAATAATATCTGAGAAATTTCTGTCTCACTCCCTTGTCTATTATCTGTCCAGGCCTGAATGAATGTTCAGACAACAATGGTGGCTGCTCCCACATCTGCAGGGACCAGAGGATTGGGTTTTTGTGTGACTGCCCCTCTGGGTACAAACTTCTGGACAAAAAGACTTGTGGCGGTAAAGACCAATACAATTCACTAACAAATAAAGTTAATTGTGTCAACCTTTTTCCGGCACTCTTTCAAGTTCATGTTTGCTTCCTGAGTGAAAAAAAATAATAATAATAGTTGACTGTATTAACATACAGTAAATTATTATTTTTTTTAAATGAAGTAAACCATTTTTTTGCCAGATGGTTCCATGAAATAAAATCATCTGGAGCCAATTACCGTACTACGCGCGTGTGTGTGTGTGTGTATATATATATATATAAGTGAATTCAACAAAATGTCAGTATAATAAACCTCTGAAAGTATTTTTTAAAAATAATTTTGTTATAATACTCACCATTAATGTGAATGATTTTCCGTTACTCATGATTGCTCAAGATCCAGCAAAGATAGCGGAGTTGCTGCAGGCTAGCTTTCAGCCTGCTCAGTAGCTTGCACGCTTCCTTTCTGTTGTCTCCCGCAGGGGGATTTTGATGCAAACATAGCATGGCGCATGTCAAAGTACCGCTTTACATTGGACCGTTTCATCGATGGTATTTTGTCATTGCAAATTAGACACACCGCAGAACCTGTTCTCTCCACAAAGGCGAATCCTTCGGTCCATTCGTCCTGAAGTCTACCATACTTGTCATCTTTTTTTCTTTTCACCATTTTATTCGTTTTGGATTAGCTTTGAGCTAATGACCGAGCGGGCTGATCCAAAAAGGGGCGTTTACCTGTTCACCAGCAACGGCCAACGTAGGCCAGTATTATCCAATCAAAATTGCTCCTGGAACCAACTGCAGCCCCGAACAGGAAATGAGCAGTAAAAAAATCGATGGATGGATTAAACAAGCGAGAATATTTTGTTTTGTCTGCGAGTCAGATGCAATCTTCAAAAGAGCCACACTTGGCTCGCGAGCCATAGGTTCCCGACCCCTGCACTAAATTGTCCCTAAGTGTGATTGCGAGCGCGAATGGTTGTTCATCTATGTGTGCCCTGCGAGTGGCTGGTAACCAGTTCAGGATGTACCCCACCTACTGCACGAAGACAGCCGGGAGCCCCGTGAGGATAAGTGAATAAGTGGATGGATGGATGGGGAGATATACGTATATATATATATGTATGTATATATATATAGAGAGAGAGAGAGAGAGAGAGAGAGAGAGAGAAGAGAGAGAGAGAGAGAGAGAGAGAGAGAGAGAGAGAGATCCTGACATAACCATTGCCACTCCTTTCACTCCATTGCGTCTCAGTACGGAAAGATGAGTTTAAATGCATCACCAAAGATGTGCTTTTCACTCTGTACCTCTTTATTCTCTCGACAGACATCGATGAATGTGAGAACCCAGATGCGTGCAGTCAGATCTGCATAAACTACAAAGGGGATTATAAGTGTGAATGCTATGAAGGTTTCGAGATGGATCCTGCCTCCAAGAGCTGCAAAGCTGTGGGTCAGTCATTCATCACACATATTGAATTGAAGTTCAGAAGCAATATACACACATGATTGGGCACACATGCAAACACAAGCACATTGAAGTCTGGCCTTTTATAGATGGCATTTACCCTTTACTCCCGGCGATCCTGACCACTGCACCGTTATATCCTCTGCTGTTACCTCTCTGTGGGATCCCCTGAAAAGAGAGGCCTGCTTTGTATGCAAGCCCTCCTCAGCAGTCTGTGCAAAGATAAATATTTGCCTTTTTTTTTTTTTTTGTTTTGCTGTCCTTACAAATGAAGCTTTCAGCCAGCTGCCATCCTTTCCCTGGAGTATGAAGCAAAAGATGTTGGAGGCCAATGTGCGTTTGGGTTTGTCACCTCTGTTGGCCTGGGTAAACACTCCTTGCACTCTGTAATTAAAGGGGACTCTGAATCCTGCAGTAGCAAAGACATTGTTGCCTGCTGACTGGGGCTAATATTGACTGCGGGGGGTGGGGGGTCAATCTCACATTTACAACATAAGAAATGAGAAAATTACGAGAAGTTGATATTTTTTACACAGTATATGAACCGATGATATCATTCAGGCTTACTCAGGACATGTCTGCAGTAGGTGGGTTTAAAACTTATGTCCTGCTCCAAGTTGTTTTGATATTGTTTTGGTGATTTGCAGTATATTAACATAGACCAGCACTTAACTAGGGTGCCATTCTGATTGACCTCTTCTTTGTCAATAACGCAGCCTCCCTTGCCCTGATAGCATTTTTCTCTGTAAAATTCTGGCATCCACATTCTGGAAGTGTGTTCAATGACCCCATAGTCTTATTGTGGGATTGGATTCTTTAATTGCATTAGTTACATGGCAAATTCAACTTCAAATTCAACTCGTGTAAGCATTGATTAAGAAGGCCACGGGTCCAAGGCTAAGTAATTACTGAATGAAGTGAGGTGGTATTGAAAAAGCTGAACACTAAAAACAAATCACTCACTCTTAGTTTCAGTGAAATAAAAAACAAGACTGACTGTCAAATGTCTGTGAATTTTTTTCCGAGAGTGAGGCTCAGAAACGGTCTTTCAAAGGCTGGCATTTGATATTGGGGGAGATGACATGGGAAAAATGCATTGCTCTTGAAATCTTTGCCAGTTGTTTCCTACAGTCCAGATGTATTTCATCAAGAGGATGACTACTGAGGAACGGAGGGATGAAATGCGCCCAAGAATTGGTCAATTCCATTTAGTCAGGGTGGACCATCAATCAGATCACTAACCACTTTGTTCAGTGGCTCTTCCAGGTGCCACCCAGATCATTCCTGGGATGCTCCAATGTAAAAAACAAACAAACAAAAAAAAATGTGTTGAATTTATTTATTTTTTTTTCGTCAGGCAGTTGCACAAAATAAAATGATCTGGAGCCTCATGAAGTAGATGTGTAGTCCACTTCATAAAAGGATCCAGATGATTATATTCTGTATGAACCTTTGATGAAATAAAATTGCGCACATTCAACAAACAATTTTTAGTCCACACAATTTCAAGAAAAAGCATTTGGACCCTTTGGAATTGCCGGGATTTCTGCATACATTGGTTATAAAATGTAATCTGCTTAAATTTAGGATGTATTGACACTAGAAAAGTCCTTTGGTCCGCTTGTTTGTTCTGGAAAAGCTGATGAAGCTTACTCGGATGAGTGGCAAAACTTCTAAAGCTTTGTTTATGCTTGACACGTTTACCTGTCGCCCGAAAATGAGGCACGCATAATTAGTCGAATGCAACTTTTGCAGCATTTTATAGTCCTCGTGGCTTGCATCTGCTGTTTGCCGATATTCTCCCAGACAATAGGGGAGCATCTGTGGCAAAGAACAATAGAATTTGAAAACACTTTTATTGTGTTTGTTTTTTATTAATTAAACTTTATGCACAACAGCAGTTTGAGGTGAACACTACACACATTTAGCAAACGAAATAAAAAGAAAGAATCAAGAATTAACACAGTATTTTCCAATAGATTTAGCTGATCAGCGCAGGTCCAGATTTTTATAGGTGCGCAGTGTGTAAAATTTGGGCAACGCGGACGCCCCGCGGAGAAGCGTGATTGCTTAAATGACGTAATTTCGCTGCGTGGAGCTGTGCTGACCTCGCGGATGTGTCAAGCATAAACCGAGCTTCAGACCACCATAGCAGTCCAGTTGGAATCGATTCGACGCCCCGAGAATGATCTAACCTGGATGAATGAGAATATTCACAGGCATCTCAAAAAACCTTGATGTTCATCAGTCCAAGGTAAAACAGTCTTGTCTGTAAAAGGAGAAAGGAGTGTTGCCCATCTCCCTAAAAGTGCACACATGTCAGGATGACTGCCAGAGCACAGGATTCTGTCATTGCAAGTGGTGGTAGCGGTCTGTGGTGTGCCTGCTCACAAGGCAACAGACATCAGGCCCAGCAGAGAGGATGCAAACTTGGAATTTGAATATTGGCAGCTGCATGAGTTGTTTATTCATTTTGTTCATTGCGAAATAAAGGAAAATATTTAGTTACAATGCACTTTTAGCAACAAAAAAGAAAGGAAAGAAAAGGAAAAATGAAAAAAAAACTTGTGATGGAGGAATACATCCCACACACTGTATGTCGACTTTATGCAGGTGCATTATGGTAGTTGAAACGGAATAATATGTCTTCAGTTTTAAAATTCGATTGCAAATGTTATACGGATGGACTTTCTTTTTATACTTTTTTGTGTGACAACGTGCATTCTGTTGCACAAATGACTGGAAAAGGTGTTTTTTTTTTTTTTCAAACAAGCATAACACTTTTAGTTAACACAGAATCGCCTGCATTTTGCTTGAGCCAATGAGGCGGTTACATTAGTCCTTAAAAGTAAAACTACTTTTTCAATTATGTTTAGTGCATTACATGCTAATTAAAGGAAAGCATCCTAGGCTCCACAGAGGAGGTTTTGTACTGTTGAGCTGTTATACAGGCAAATCTAATCAAAAGTAATGTCTCTGTGATTAAAAAAAAAAAAAAAAGGTTCCCCCTTTGAGTTTGTAGTTTATTTTTTTCTTAATGTGTCTTTAGGGGGCAGGACAGTAGAGTAGTGGTTCACTCACCGTTGAGAGGTTCACGTTTTGAATCAGATCGGACATTCTTATCGTGTTGAGCCCAAAATCTTCAAAAAAACCCACTATGAAACATTCAATATGTATTTTCCATGAAAAATAGGGGGGACCCAACCATCCCCCCCAAAAACATAATAAATATTAAAAACGACATACAAATATTAAAAACTAAATCTGTGAATATGGAAATCTCGTTGTATGATAAACCAAGTCAGATCAGCTTTGGCCCGAATTCAATCGTGTGATGACTTTCTTCACAATCAGACTTCATCTGAGTTAATTTGCAGTGTACACTGGCCGTAAATGAATACCTACATCCATTTTTGCTTAGTTTTTTTGTATGACAGCAACAGCATTTCGTTTTTTGACACAAGCAGAATATGCTGTCAAGATTATGTACAGGACGTCTAACAATTTAGCATAGACCAGTTGCTTCTTTTTTGTTCCTGTTTCTCTCCCATGTGCCTTGTTTTCACTCTCTTCTACAGAAGCGCTCCAGGCAGAACCACAATGCCAGGAGTAATCTTCTGTGCCACAGTGGTGATAGTTTGAGTGCATACTTTTCAAGAAATGATTTCCCAAAACTGGTCATTAATTTCCTAACATCCACAGGATTTGACATTTAACTTTTCATTGCAACTCGTTTTAAACTTTTTACTGCATGGGAGGGAATCTAATGACACTTTCAAACTCAAGTTACTGACAAGTTTGTCTCGGAATCCCAGGAGTTTTACACCCCGTAGGTGTGAATGTGGGTATGAATTAAAACTCATATATCAACAAATCTGCCCTTAAAAGGCCCAAAACTGACCAAGACTACAGGTTTGTACTAAAAACATGGCAGAAATGGAGAATTAGAAAGTCACAACATGGCGTCCATAAATTATCTGCTGATTTAACCAGTGACAAAGCATTCACTTCAAAGAGTGTCCAGTGTTTATATGCTTTGGTAGAATGCTGGATAGAAAATGGATGAATGGATAATTTTCTAAAAAACGTGCAATATTTGGCAGACACATTGAGACAGCGATTAAATAGTATCATGACACCCATACATTTTTATGCTATAATTTAACGTCTCCAGAGAACGTAGTTTATATTTTAAGGAGACTGATTTCCCGTCAGGGACCTATTAAATACAGTACAGGATGCATATTGTATACTTAGTTGAATCCTCCTCTCTATATAACACTGTTGAGCAGGCATGTCCTACTCCAAAACACCATTGAGGAAGCCTGAAAACGATCCTGAGAGACATACCGGAGAGAGACATATCAAAACAGAGGGCCTCGAGGACCTAATTTTTGACCGCATATGTCAGGAGTGTCATTTTCATCTCCTGTAGCACAAGCTTTTTTGTTGAAATCCAGTCCATATTTTTCCTTGAGTTGAACATTGATATAAAGAGTAGCACATACTATACATTCACCAGCTGTAACATTAGGTACATCTACACAAGCTAAAGCGAGTTACAGTACTGATAAAAATCCTCCAGGTAACTAATGTGCTATTGACCAGCACATGATGCATGAACCAGAGGAGAGCAACTCAGGAGCCCATTTTTTACACACTTAAAAATAGAACATGGTTGTATAGTTTGGCCTTTATATCCCAACCCAATGTAGTAGTGTTGATGTGTTAGTGTACCGTATTTTCCGCGCTATAAGGCACACCTAAAAGCATTCAGTTCTCTCAGAAGCTGACAGTGCGCTTTATAATTCCATGCACCGTTATGTATGGATCAATATTCTGATTTCTTGGACGTAGTATTTCAAATGCTCTGTAAAGCACTTTGTTACAGCTGCAGCGGTTGGGATAGCTCTATATAAATAAAGTTGTATTGTATTGTATTTTATTTCCGTTCAGTGTAGCTCCATCTAGTGGCTGCATAACGGAACCGCAGACACTATTGTAGCTTCTATTCTATGTGTCTTATAATGCGTTGCATCCTATATATGAAAACAGTTTTAAAATCATTGAATTCATTGAAAGTACGCCTTATAGTCCAAAGAGCTCGATAGTGTGAAAAATACAGGAATTGCATGATTAAGTGCACAGCTCTGGGAGGTGCCAAAAGCCCCTATTTTTCAGTCTTAAAAAAAAAAAAAAAAAGACATCTTTGAAGGTTTATTTATATTATTAATAGTCACAACATTAAATTCACCTGTTGTATGTTTAAGGCCAAAATATGGACACCAAGCTAGCGAACAATTTCAAGAAATAATTTCAAAAACAAAGAACATTTACATCAAGACTGCTTCGTTCTCTCTTTTAAGCAGCGAAAGACTTTTTATCTGATTCAATTAATATTTTATAATCAAGTTTGGTAATGGGGTCATCAGCATAAATTGACTGAAATGGGGAAAAAAAATTAACCTTGCTCATAGCGCTTCCTATTTCTTGAGATCAAATTATTTTCAGATTTTTTTTTTTGTGTGTGCAAAATACATAAAAACATATTACCAAATGTATGACTTTTTTCCTGTTTGTGGTCATATCAGGTGCCTCAAAAAAAAACAATTGGGGTACAGGTGTCCATTAGTATACATTGTCTTCAATTTTGCTTTACTGTATGCTGCTATTATAGTAGGTCTCTACGATACTCCTCTGCCATTCTGTCATTAATTGCTAATGTAATAAATGACTGTCTGTCCGTGCTGTTTGTATTTCCTCAGGAAAGAGTCCCTATTTGATGTTCACTAACCGACACGAGATCCGTCGTATTGATCTCCTGAAAAGTGAATATACGCAAGTCGTTCCTACGCTGAAGAATGCTGTGGCGCTGGATGTTGATGTGGCCACCAATAAGATGTTCTGGAGTGATTTATATCATCGCAAAATATACAGGTATACACACACACTTATGTAATCATCACACTGTACTCATCCTCATTTACAATATTCTTTTTTTAACCCGTGATTGCACATCAGATCCCTAATAAGCAATATGAAAGCCAATGCAGCATGTGTGTACGGTTATCAGCAATACTGGTGTTGACTCTTCAGTACAGATTGGAGTTTTGGGTGGGTAAACAAACTCCAATTCCAATGAAGATGAGACATTGTGCGAAAGCTAAATAAAAACGGAATACAATGGTGTGTAAATCCTAATTACCATATTTTCCACACTAGAAGGCACTTCAGAGTATTAGGTGCATTTTCAATGAATAGCCTATTTTAAAACAGTTTTCATATATCGGGCATACCGCATTATAAGGCACATAGAATAGAAGCTACAATAGTGGCCGCGGACGCATTATGCATCTACTAGTTGGAGCTACGCTAAAGGGAGTACAATACAATACAGCTTTATTTAGATCGCGCTTTACAGAGCATTTAAAATACAGTGTCCAAGAAATCAGAATATTGATCCATATATGGGGCACATCAGATTATAAGGTGCACTGTCGGCTTTTGAAAAAATTGGATGCTCTTAGGTGAGCCTTATAGTGAAGAAAATACGGCATATATTTAATTGAAAATACTACAGAGACAATATATTTCATGTTCAAACTAATCAACTTTTTTTTTTTGCACGTATTTGCTCATTTTGAATTTGATACCTGTCATGTTTTCCAAAAATACGGAGACGGGCATGCTTACCACTGTGTTACATCACCTAGCCTTTTAACAACACTCATGTGTTTGGGAAATCCATCCATCCATCCATTTTCTGAACCGCTTTGTCCTCACAAGGGGTGGTGCTGGAGCCTATCCCAGCGATCTTTGGGCAGTAGGCAGGGGACACCCTGAACGGGTTGCCAGCCAATCGCAGGGCACACAGAGACAAACAACCATCCACGCTCACACTCACACCTAGGGACACTTTAGAGCACAGGTGTCGAAGTCCGGTCCTCGAGGGCCGGTGTCCTGCATGTTTTCCATCCCTCCCTGCTGCAACACACCTGATTCAAATGATCAGGATCACTATCAGGCTCCAATAGAGCTTGCTGATGAACTGATCATTTGGATCAGGTGTGTTGCAGCAGGGAGGGATGGAAAACATGCAGGACACCGGCCCTCGAGGACCGGACTTTGACACCTGTGCTTTAGAGTGTCCCATTAACCTACCATGCATGTTTTTTGGAATGTGGGAGGAAACCGGTGTACCCGGAGAAAACCCACGTAGGCCCGGGGAGAACATGCAAACTCCACAAAGGGAGGCCGGAGCTGGAGTTGAACCCAGTACCTCTGCACTGTGAGGTCGACGCGCGTGTTTGGGACATGAGGACACTAATTGAAGGTGGAAGTCTTTTCCATTCTTGCTTGATGGACAAATTCATCTGCTCAACAGTCGGGGGTCTTCATTGTCATATTTTGCACTTCGTAATCCACCACACATTTTCAATGGCAGAGAGGCCTGGACTGCTGACAGGACACTCTTTTATTCACACTCTTTTACGACGAAGACACACTGTTGAAATCCACGCAGAATGTGACTTGGCAATGTGCTGATGAAATAAGCAGGGACACCCCAGAAATAGATGTTGCTTGGATGTTTGTATATGTTGCTCCGAAACATGTTTCTACCTCGCTGTTAAACTTTGCCTTGATAACAATGTAGATGGTCCTTTTTCCTCTTTGGCCCAAACGACACGGCGTCCATGATTTCCATTGAACATTTGAAAAGTGGGGTAGTCAGACCACAGCACACTTTCCCACTTTTCATCAGTACGTCTCAGATGAGCTCAGGCCCAGCAAAGCTGAAGGCATTTGTGGGTGTTGTCTATATATGGCTTTCGCTTTGCATGATCAAGTTTTAACGTAGCAGAATCGTCATTCTTACAAAATCATCCATTTTCAGGAATGAACTGTGGAATGTTCCAAACCGATGTTTTGTGAGCGTTCGTTTGTATTTCTGCTGAAAACAAATTTTACTCGGTTGTGTAACACTATAAAAAACACGCTGACTCGAACATACCCTCCTAGCCTTGGGGGCATACAAGGGCGTATTAAAAGTGAAAGTGTCTTTCTGCAATATCTCTTATATAGTGCTTCCTCAAGTGCTCATCATTGCTTTTATTTTTTTGGGAAAGTAAGACTGGCATTCGTTCTATATGGGAAAGAAGCTAATATAAAGTGCATTAAAAAAAAAACGAATGAATTGATACTCAGAATGAGAATAATGAGCTCCCGATTTGTTAATTTAGGAAGAAAAAATATCAGATGCAGCACAATTGCTACAGTTAGCTCAAGAACTCAAAGCCAGCAAGTGGTAAAGGTTAAATAAACCTGAATCTTCCTTATGTCTGCAATGTGGGGTGTGATGGCAGAGTGAAATAGTCTCACTTTACTCATGAATTTGACAAATAACATGGCAAGAAAAGGATGCAAATGCAATCTGTTACTTTTGTCACATCAGTAGTCTTGATTGTTCGTCAGCCAATCAGTAGCTGTCTCGAGCTCATTCCCCAAGGCAAGGCAGCTTCATTTATATAGCACATTTCATCCATTCATCCATCCATCTCTGCAGCATGCTACATGAGTCGTTAGCATGTCTCCCTCACACTTCTTGAGCTTTGGATTTGAATGGCGGGTGCTCAGGATCCCTCCAGCATTCCAAAACCATTCACATTAAACAGCCAAAATATAGAAAATACCAGAAAAGTGCACATCATATTGACTTGTTTAGTTCGTTTGAATTTTTGAAACATATTTGGTCTCGGAGTCATCCAAAACTCAACTCAACTCAGCTATTTCTAGAGCACTTTCAAACAGCCATCGAAAGTAATCAAGAGTAGTCAAGTTACATCACTTTATTGTCATGATACTTGGATTATGTTCTTTCTTTTTCTTCAGTCCTCTTGCACTTCATGGCGCGTAGAGCCAACCATAGCAACCAGGTCTCTCCATCTGGGTCTGTTGTGGGCAAGGTGTTGACCTTGTTTCAGGGTCATATTGCAGGCCACAAGGTCCAGGGCTATTTCGTCCAGCCAGCGAGTGTGGGGGGCACCTCTGGCTCGTCTCCAGCCAGCTTGCTGGGGGTTCAAGGCCAAGATGGTGCTGGTTGGGTGTTCCTGGGGCAGGTGGATGACGTGGCCATACCATTGCACTCGCCGCATTGTTGCGAGACGGGAGGCTGGTGGCTGTTTGGTTTTGTCTCTTAGAGCCTGATTTGCGATGTACCTTCAATCCTCCTGAGGACCCTGGAGTCAAAGCTATCAAGCCTGGCCGCAAGAGTCTTATTCAGTGGCCAGGTTTCGGAGCCGTACAGGAGGACGGAGATGACTGAGGCATTGTAGATTCTGAGCTTTGTTGCCCTGGATATGTGCCGGTGGCGCCACAGCGGTCTCCACAAGGACTGCATGACAGAGGCTGCAAGGGCGCGGCGACGGTCGACCTCTGTTTTGAGGTCTCATTTGTTGGTCACTGTCGAGCCGAGATATTTAAAGGTGGAGACAAAGTGGACAGGGGTTCCACCAAATACAAAAGATGGTGGGTCAGGTCCATCGCCAAAATCCATCAATTTTGTCCTGGCCCAACTTACCTTTAGGCCAAGCTTTTTGAACTCCTCATTGAACACTCTGAGAGCCTCACGAAGCTGATCAGCAGTCTGGCTGAACAGGATGGTATCATCAGCATACTCGAGGTCCTTTAGAATGCAGTTGGCGAGTGGCACTCCAGGAATCTGCTCACAGACTCTTGACATTAGGTGGTCAGTGACGCATTTAAAGAGCTCTGGAGCAGCAACACATCCCTGCCTTACCCCACTGTTGATGGGGAACCACTCGGAGTCTTGGCCATTCACGCGCACACAGCTTTCCGCACCCTGGTACAGTTGTTTGAAGAGTGTGGTGATCTTGGCTGGGACTCCGAGGGATTTTAAGATGTTCCAGAGGGAACCATTGTCCACTGTGTCAAAAGCAGCCTTGAGGTCAAAAAAAGCAATGAATAAGTGCCGTTCCTTTCTGAACTCCCGAGCCTTTTCTATCTGGAGTCAGAGAGCAGAGATGTGTTGGATGGTGGAACGGTTGGGCATGAATCTAGCTTGTTGTTGGCGGCGTCTGCTTCTGGTTGCAGGTAGAGCTCGGGTGAGTAGAATGTGGGTGAAAAGTTGTCCTGGGGGCCTCACCCCACCAGGAACAGGAACTGTGTAACCTTGTCGAGGTGTGACAGCTTAAACCTACCTAGTGCCTGCCCGGGCTTGTTGCATTGAGGAGCCTGTCACCTTGGGGGGTTTATGACACTAAGATGGCACAAATGAGCAGTTCCGCCTCTCACTCATGTCAGGGCTTCGCAGCCCGTCAGTGTGCTGTAAAGTGGCAGCCTCACCAGCTGACTAGCCATCGCAGGGCCAACTACCCAGCATGGTGAAAAGAAATAGTTACGAAACCCACTAAAGCAGATTTAACTGGACGGACCTTCCAGGTAACAGACCTCTGCCTGCACCTGACCAACGACATTTGGACCTACGTTATAAAACCCACATTGCCTGTTGGAACATTCAAACACTCCTGCACCCTGGCTATCCAACACTACTCTCCCATGAACTCTCCAGGTATAACATCACCCTTGTTGGCCTTTGTGAATCACGCTGCCGCGGAACTGTAGAAACAACAGCCGGTGACCAACTTTTTCTGTGGAGTGGCCTGAATGATGGGAGAGG